TCATGGTTATTTAAGATCTTGATTCTGTGAGATGTGTGCTTAATTCCTACTGTAGGCAATGGCAGATGAGTGCCTAAGAACCTTTTGTGAGATGCAAAACACAGTTCAGCTTCAGCCCATGTGTCTATTCCTCCTCTATCTGTTAAATTGGCGGCGTATCATTTGTTTGGAGTAAGAACATATGGCAATACTCAGGTTCTCTCTTTGCTTTGCAGCACAGGGAAGTCAGGGGCTTTCCTTAACTATTTAGAAGTGCTCTTTACTTCCCTACAGAAATGAGAACAATTTATTTCCGTGCAAGTGTGATAATTTGGGGGCCATCATTTTTACCACAAATGAATTAAACAAGACAGGAGCAGTGGCTAAAATAATAAAATAGCTGCCTCTTTCATTATGTGTTTGACAACACTTATTTGACACACTATTAGGTAGCATTACAAACTGTTAAAATACTCTGAAACATACACGCCACTATTAAGTTTTGATACCCAATTGCAAATGTTTCTGTTTAAATACAATGATTTATGCTTATTTATGTGTGCACACCCAGAATGACAGCACCACTTAAAAAGAATCAATTTCTTAAAGGATTTCAGTTAATTCTGATGAAAAGACTAGATTAATTACTTTGTTTAAAATATTTCATAATCTTATTATATTTTGCATCTTCCCAGATCCAAGTGTCATACCCAGTCTAAGAAATTGAAACAGGACATCCACACAATAGGGATAGACCCTTCATCCTATTATTATTTAATTAACTATTCTCTAGAAATTGATGAGCATTGAGCTTTGTTCCGAAAGGTAAATAGCTCTGTGTGTCAGTAAGTAAAGCAAAAATTTCAGCAGGGGGCATTTTCTCAGCAAAACCTCAAGGCTCCTCTTTTAGCTTATCTGGCCTTCTTGACTCCTAGAGCACAGCCCACGAAACAAGAAATTAAATGATTTTTAAATCCAGCTGTTCTTAAATACTTCAGAGAAAACTTTTCTTTAAAGAAGAGCCAACCTCATGAAAAGGGTCTTGTGGTGCCTATGTATAATAAACAACAAGCAGTCATCACAGTCTCATATTTCCTTCTTTCTAGAAATCAAGAAATCTTCTCTTTGTAATAGATGATCAGACATCTTGGTCTGGAGATCCCAAATACAACTTGGAATAGATGTGTGAGATTAAAACACGAAGATGTTGGGCTAGATTCTTTTTGAAACTACAGCTTTTATCTCTCTTTGGCTGAGTACACAATTTATGCCTGCTGATGGCCCCCCAATATACTAGACGGAGCAGCTGGGTGAGCCATTAGGTCAGACAAGAAAATAATCTGTGATCTTGGACATACTTGTTTGTAAGCAAGTATGATGGTCTTACTGTTGCAGTGCTTCCACAAGAATATGTGAATGGCTGTAGTGTTTCAGACTGAAGGCCTGATCTGCCAGCAATGTGCGTCCAATGACAGGTCTAGGAGTGACAGTCTGAACTGAGGGTGTACAATACTTCCCCCCATCCACTACCCCCGTGCCTCTACCTCCAGCTATTTTCAGCTCAAAGGAGATGCTGATCCATTTATGGTTTGTCTATCTAATGACATCCTTAGGTCTCCAGTCTGCTATGTAAACTTTGTGCATCCACAACATTGTTTGGCAAGGAATGCCATTTGAGTTCTCTATTGCACAGAGAATATTCATACTACGTAGTCTCACTCCAGCAGACAGCATTTAAAAGAATAACTACTTTTTTAGTATCAGCAGATACAGATCATGTTTCCCAAGGCATTTGTTCCTATTTATATGAGAAAGGCGATGACACTCATCTCATATGCTGGTATAGGAATCTCTTTCAGGACTATTTCAGAGACATTCACTTGAATGTATGTTGAATGGCTTAAAAAACTCAGTGTCCTTCTGAACAAATGTTCCTTCTTTTAAGCTTCTGAAAACTGATTCATGCTTTTTAATCTATTTCAACTTTTTTTTCTAGAAATTCACTTACATGAGCTAAAGTTGCCAAGTTTGATATACCACTGAATTATCCTGGAAAGGGCCTTGCTTTCTCAGTCCATAGAGGCAAAACTTACAACAGTATTAACATTTTCAGATCCAGTCTCCACAAATGCATTTTTCTGAAAACCCCAGAGAAAATATCCTTTACAAAACAAAAGAACACTTACCAGATTAATATATACAGCTTTTTAATTTTACAAACTGTACAGATAACTGCCACAAATCTCAGGTGTTTTTACCATCTCAATGATTAAATCATCTCTGTAAATAGCAGCAAAAAAATTTATAACCTCTCAGGGCCTGCATCATTAAGTACTGAAAATAACTTGAAGTGCTGCGCAAAGCAAATGGTATAGTTGTAAACTCCGACAGACTCCTAAGAAGTTGAAGCCTTTTTTAAGGCAATAGTAGTATTTCACATAAATAAAAAGCCAAATCTCTACTTTTTATCATCAGATGTTCTAGTCATCTCTGGTCCTGCATTAGCATCACTGTACCTGCATACACCTGTGTGCACCTGCATATGCTGCTCTCCCAGAGCAATGCTTACAGAATCAGTGTACCCCTACCACCTTTCTCCACAACAGGCTGAAAACTCATTTACGGTCTATGAATAACAAGTTTCTCAACAGCAGCTTTTCAATACAGAGCTTGCAATCTGTCTCACATTCACTTTGTCAAATTATGGTCCACATATCAGCCATTTGCAGCAGTGATATATCTGTCAAGCGTCAAGTACATTTCTCGCAAAGGGAAGTCTTTTTTAGGATTTTTTTAACTTTCAAAGTGTCTAATCCCAAACATGCAAAATAATGAGTCAGGCGTCAAAAAATCATGAGATTAAAAAAAAAAAAAAAAAGTTAATATCTTTTCCTTTGCTTTCTGGATCTTTTTCTGGGTCATGTTTTCAAGCTTTTCTCCAAGGCCATAAGGGTTACAAACATTATTAAAAAGAAAGCAACTGAGGTCCTTTTGTAATTGCATGTTTAAGGAAAACATTTACTGCCATCAGATTTAAATTGTGTTGAACTGACAACCAAGGATCTTCAGAGATATTTGAGATCAAATAGTCCTGAAAAAGGCATACTGCTTCAAACCTGTTTTCTCTAGAGTTTTGTTTACATTTCTTATGCATTTTTTTTCCAGATAATTAAGCTTTACTGAAAGCAGGTTGTTACACATGGGGGAAAGTCATCATTTAACACTATCCTGAAAGACTCTTTACAACGTAAAAATATCTGAGCTACAGGTTATAGCTCCTCACAAAAAGAGATTTCTTCACCTGAGATTTGTGATTTGCGCCTCCTTAATACTGAGTCCCCTTGAAATCTTTACTCTGGATTTTTTTATTTTTTTTTTTCACTGAAGACAATTTTGTGTGACAATGTGCATTACAAATCTCCTTAAAAATTCTTCAGATTCTGGCTGTTTTGTGATGGATATTTTCATGAGCATTTGACAAATGTAACCATTCCTGTTAACTGTTGTCAGCTGGTTAGTGTGACACTTGCTAATTTGCTTTTATTTGGAGGGAAAGGAATTCCTTGCTTTTCATAACACAGTTTCTCTGTAGGGCATTATCTAAACTCAGTATAGTGGGTTTTTTTGTATCTTTTCTTGTCCATCCTTTCTGTCCTAATTAAAACTACCAGGGACCCAGCAGGAAACCCAGTAGGATTGCTCATGGTGTCTTGAAGTCACCCTTTCTTTCCTTGTTTTTTTCATGCTAAACCTTGTTTTTCTCATCAATCCCTCTCCTGAATCCCACTGGACTTCCAACTTCCCTTTGTCAGCACCCTTGTTTGCAGCTAACTGCGCTCCTCTTCATGTTCTCTACCCCGTTCTCTTCCCCTTCCTCCCCTCTCAGTTTGCCTATCTCAAGTTTCCTTCCTCCATTCCACGGTGCTGTGAGGAAGGCTGTGCCTGGTGTCAGCACTGCCCATGGCGCAGCCAAGCCCAAGTGCTACATGTTAACAAGGCAGACCACAGCTGATGAGGAATTCCATGGGTGGTCCTTTTCACTTGCTTCGTGGTTTCTGAGGCATGCACATGGATCACACTTTATTTCTACCATCACAAACTCTGGGTGATGGCTTCCACTTTACTGGGACAGAAGACGAAAGGCTCACTTATCCCAGCGGGCCTTGCTTGCAGCTCGACCCTGGTCAACCTCACTAGACTGCCTGGGAAGCCGGGGTGGAGATCGGCCGGGCGCTCCCACAGATGCACCTCAGGGGCCCTGCCCACGGCCACAATGAGGGCCCGTGGCAGACCCATCGCGGAGTTCCGGGCCCGGGCCGAACCCCTCTCATCCCTTCCGCAGCTGCCTCCTCTCGACCCCGGGCCGGGACAAGACCGCTGCAGCGGCAGGCCACGGCGGGATTCCATAGTAACAGGCGGGGGGCCGGGCGGCGCCGGGGGGCCGGGCGGGTAGGAGAGGGCGGTGACGGCGGCGGGATGGCGGGCGCGGGAGCGCCCCCTCTCCGCCGCTCCCAGCCCCGTACCCGCTGCCCGCAAATGGCTCTTCCCTCGCCGGCCCCTTTGTGTGAGGCACACTCGGAGCAGCGACTCCTCCGGCGGAGCGCGCCGTGTCCCCTGCCGCCGCCCGGGGAGCCCAGCCGTGCTGTGCTGAGGGGAGAGAGCCCGGCGGCGCGGGGCGGCCATTCCAGCGCGGGTGAGCTGCGTCGCCGCTCCCCCCGGGGTGAGAGGGGTCCCGGTCTGCTGCCGCTTCCCCCCTCCACCCCAGTTCCTTCCCGGCTCCTCGCGGTGCAGGGCAACCAAAATACACTTCCAACAAACCCAACCAAATAAATAACAACAATAATAATAATTAAAAAAAATCCAAACAAAAACAAAAACCGGGAAAAGAACACAGGGAGTGAGCGAGAGGGAGGGAGGGAGGGAGAAGCGAACCAACTCCGAGACTCCCATAAAGAGAGGCACACACGGAGCTAGCGCCCCGGTGCCGATGCGTGGGGAAAACAATAAGTACTCGAAGTTACCTGCCCTGCCGTAGAAGAAGGAGGGTTTGTTGATTCTCTCGCAGACATCTGCAGACCGGTGCTTTTTTGGAAGATTTTTTTTCTTTTTTTTTTTTTTTTTTTATCCCTTCCCCTCTCTCCTCTCTCTCTCTTTACAAACCACAAACGGATGTGAGGCAGGGAAGGTGTTTCTTTGACTACTGAAGTCAGGCACCTCTGGGTTTTTTTTATTCTTCTCAGTCTTGTTGTGTGTCCCCCCCATCCCCTCACTCACACACACACATTCATACACACACACACCCCTTTTTTCACCAACATTAACGACAAACAGAAAAGGAAAGGAGTTTGCTTGATGTTTTAGTGAAATGGACGTAAGATTTTATTCGCCACCTCCTCAGCCTGCCGCCGCTCCTGATACGCCTTGTTTGGGACCTTCCCCCTGCCTGGACCCCTACTACTGCAACAAGGTGACTCGTGTTTTGTGTCGTCCGAGGTGTTTTATCTGTGCTGTCGATCGTGCTGTTGTCGCGGCCGGTGCATGAACGGACGCTGCGCTCCGCCGAGCCGCGCTCCAAGTTCAGCGCCGAGGTGGAGGGCAGCGGCGCTCCCCGGAACTGGGGGTTCGGGGGGCGCGGTGCCGCCCGCCGCCGGGACACACACCAGCTTCCCTGAAGGCACCCCGAATTAAAACCCCGGAATAGTTTGAGGGCGGGCAGCTGGAGCAGTTGGGGGGGGTGGGGGGAGTGTGAATGTGTGAGTGTGGGAGGCATTTTCCATAACATCTTCCCTTTCGGAGAAACAGCGTGGACAACGATGTTGATGCGGAGGACTTGGATTTCCAGGGCTCCTGTTAATAAAGATCGCGCCCGCCACAAGCCGGCGGAAACTCTGCCCGGCCGCCTACCCGGCAGTTCATGTGTGTGGTACTCGGTGGTGCACGTTTATGTGTATGTGTATGTGACACGAGTGTGTATATATATATTTATATACTCATACACACCTCTGTGTATGCAAGATAAGGGTATATAAGGGTGAGAAGTCTTTCCAGAACATTGGCTCGACTTTGTCCAAGCTGTGCAACTAACAGCCTTATCAATTTCTCTGTAACTTGATCAAACCGCTGAAAACGGGGTGCGTACCTGAGGGGAGCCGAGGTTTAAGGTCCCCGAGTCCCGGGGCGGGGGAGACTCGCGCTAGCCCAAATCCCGGGTTTGGCGACGAGAGTTTGGTGCTGCGATCCCGGAGCACTTTGCATGACTTTTGGTGCTGAGGAAGGGGGCTGGGGTTCCTGCATTGTTACTGCCTCTGTCGCCGGAGCCAGCTGGTGCTTTATACGTGAGCCGCACTTTCTCTGCTGTTAACGGAATGGCCTTTGCACATGAGCAAAAAGCTGGCCATAGGAAAATAACCAGGAAGTGGGAGCTACCCCGAGCACTTCTTATATACATCCCGGCCAGGGCAAAAAGCTGAGGGCGAGCGCTGGCCCAAAGATGAGTTTACACCCGTGATCAGGCATTAAGCTTAGAAACCTGCCATGGAAGCCTGTGGCAGGCTGCAGCAGATGTTTCTCGCAGCGTAAACGTCCGCAGGGCTGGCCACGAAGGCGGAGGGAGGCCGGGGGGGGTACCCATCCGGGGCGAGGCGCCCTGTCCCGCCCGGTTCTGCGCTGGGCTATTGTCATGACGGGCTCACGTGTCGCTGGGATGTTCTGAGCCGTCTCTTTCACCGCGGGCAGCTGCCTCCATTCCGAGATAAATAAACAGCATAAATAGCGTGTGGTCGGTGCTCCAGCGCGGACGCTGCCGCGCCGGGGTGAAGCCCTCTCGGTGCTCAGGGAAGATTTCCCACATGGTCGCATCTACCAATCACAACAGAAAGGACCAAATTCATCCTGGCTGCATTTCGCATATACTCCATGGAGTTGTAGAATTCAGGGATGAATCTGGCCCTTTGTAGTGGATGCCTGAGGATATCTCGAGAGAGGTCCCAGAGGTATGACTTAGTGGTGTTTTGAGTGGCTGTGTTTGGCAACATCTGGCCAACCTGCCCTATAGATTGGAAGTTTGTGCCAGGAGTGAACTTTGTTCATCAGGAAGAGTCCAGTTGCACAGGAGCCTGTATGTGTGCATTATTTTTTTGTAAGTGCTCTAAGTAATCATGAGGCTATTGCCACCATTGATCTGAGGCTTGCCGTTGTTTTTTTCTGTTGTCTTTGTAAATCGTAACTGTAAAGTGTTGCCAAATGAAAAGCTTGGGCTAATATTAATGGCGTAAGCACCAAAGTGTCTGAATACCCATTTGGCAATGAAACTGGACAAATGTTATTAAACCTATCAGTGATTTAAAGCTTCAAAAAGAAGGTAATGACTTGAATACACATTTCACTCATCATTCTTGAGATAGTGGGCCAGATTTAATTTAAAAGTTAAATGCTTTGGAAAATCAGGAATTACTTTAATATATTAAATCATTTTCAAATTAAGTTCCTTAAATCATTTTTGGTGGGTTGCACTGCAAATCAAATAAATTAATTTAGGAGGTCGTTTTCAGAATTTCTTTACTGGGTGGTTAAAGCTTCTTTTAAGTCATGCCATGTATGAGGGAGCAAACTGTTCTTTTTAAATGCAAATGAGACACTCATTCTGTAGACAAGTTGCAACTCTTCTATTTCACTTTGCCTGAACTGATAATATGCTTAAAAGTGCACAGTCATAAGACATATGTTTTATGCTTGGAAAAGACTTACCAGGAATGTAAGATACCGAGTATAGGACGAATGTCTTTCAGTCTTTGCTGCTGACCGCTGACCACATTAAATGGACAGAGGAGCTTTACCAGGCCCCTTGGAGGTATACATTTACAGAGCATTTCATTTTTCACTCCCTTCACTCTCTCCCTTCTCCCAGCATGATTAACATTGCTGTGAAAACTTATCTGACTTGTTCTAAACATGTCGTCATGTTACAGTATTGCTCTGCCTCTCATTTCTGTGCTGTGTGTATTTAGGGAGTTTGAAGGGCAGGAGGCCTGCAGGAATTTTGTGTTGTGTAAGTTTGGTGGAGTGTTTGGTTTTGATCTCTCTCAGGAAAGGGGATGGCGGAAGCATGATGGATTCATGTTCTTGGTTGGTATGGTGGTCTTGATTAGGTCTTTACCTGCAAAACTCATTCAGAACTGGATCTTGTTTCTTGTAAAGTTAGTTAAAACTCACTTTGGTCACTTGGAAGGATTTAGCCCTTGTTTTCATATCTGGAGTTTGGGGTGAGTTGTTTGCTGGGTTTTTTCTACAAGTATGTCAGACTTTGATTCTTTACATGTTAGGTCTGCTTGAGCTGCTGGGAATTTAGGATGCATTCCACAAATCTTTACACTTTTAAGTTTTCTCATAATTCTGTTAGGACTAAGAGGTGGGTTTTTTTCCAGCTCAGGTGATTGTTCGAAGTGTATGAGTGAGTTCCCAGGGACATGTATGGGAGTACTATGTTTCTCTGTAGCCAAAAGGAAACGCAATAATGCAGATTCAGTCACCTCTTATCTCACAATTTTCAGTTGGCAGGATTTGTTTTAGAGGACTGCTTAGATCTTTATTTTATAAACCTAAAATAGCACTCTAAGCATCTTAGTCAAACATTTCTCTATCTGCTGTGAAAGCTCATTATACTCTGCATATATTGTTATGCAGGCTTTTCCTTGTTTCTCTTGCATTACCCATGGAGAGCGAAAAGTGAAAGAACAATGCAAACAATGTTGGTTATGACAACTGTGTGAGGTATCTCTTATACAAACAGACAGAATGGACGGTATGCTGTGTTATATAGGTCAGCCTTTGAAATAACAAGAGTGGAGCTCTTGCAGTGGACAGACAAATTTAGAGTTGGGGTTTTACCATTTGCCTCTTGAAACTTGAAGCGTAATTGCATTTTGGACATTTACAGGCTAATACAAGTAGTCTGTTCAGTTGAAGTTTATTTTAAGGAATATCATGTTCCTTAATTGAGTTGAATGGTACAAAAGAACTTTGATAATCCAGGTGTCTTAATGTGATAGAAGAATATGGACAGGGATTTCAAGCTTCTTGAAGAAGTCAGATGATAAGTTTACATGTTTATGTAGAGAGCAATAAATAAAATCCTTGTGGCTTTCCTTATTAAAGTGTCACCTCCAAAGACTGCTTCGATCAGTACTGCAGGAAGGATTGGTGTATTTTCATACTTGCAACTTTACAGTGTTTTCAGATGTCTGCTCACATAAAGTGCAGTTATATAATTATAGTTTGACACAGCTAATGACAGGGATGCTGACCCCTGCCAACAGTAGGGAGAAAATAATGTTCTTTACTGCTCCCAATGGTTTGCCTTGCAGAGTTATGCACTAGATTGTTCTGTGATTTGCTACCTGGTTCAAAAATACAGGAGTCTGCACTCATCTTTCTTGTTTCCGCTGGTAGTTGTCAGCGCAGTGGAAAAATACAGCCAGACAGCAGAGGTAGAATGATAGACTGTAGCTGTTTTTAAAACAGAGGAATAAAGAGGGAAAAAGAGGGAGAGTGAAGTAAAACACTTCAAAATGAAAAACGTGGAGTGACATTGAATAGAAGTAGATAAGGAGATAAAATACAGTGCTTTGTAAGCAGGTGACAATCTCTCTTGTAGTCAGACTTCCACAGAGCAAAAGTACATACATATATATTTATTTATACACAGTGTTGAGAATAATTTATTATGTAAACTTAACCCTACCATGGAGACTACTTTAAGTGAAGTGTTCCATGGCTCTTTATAAAGTGTACATTATTTCCAGGAGCTTGCGTTTGTCCACTCTCTGTCCGAAACTCAGAATGACGACAAGCCAGTGCTCTGAAGGACCGCTCTAAAGCTGAAATGCTGTGTTATCATTTAGAAGCATTTTAGATTATGCTTATCTGATAGATCACCATTTGTTTATTCTGGATATACATATATATCTATATATCTGTATTAGAATTATATGTGAAATTTGTTGCTGCCTTTTATAGGAAAGATTAAACAGTTGCATTATTGCTGTTGATTTTTCAGTGTTAAAGTGTTTTAGATAGTTTCAGAAAAATACCACATAGGAAATACCAAGGGAAACGGACTTCTTTTTTTCTGGGTTACTAGACCTTAAAATGTAGTCTCAGAATTACGGGCAAGCCTCAGGTGTGCCTCCTTAAATTCCAGCGTTTCAAAAAAGAAGTGATCTCAATTTTAGTG